TGAGGTCTTCATGCTTTTCTTCCTTTGTTTCTTCTTTAATATTTTAAGTAGGTCTGGAACAAACAAGTTCCTATGTGTACATTTTCCTAATTACAAAAGCAATACATGTTCAAGCAATACAGAAAGAAAGTGAAAAGTAAAATATTTCTCACAATTTCTTCTGTCCCTATTAAGTTCGATTCTTTCTGACACCTTATTCTGGTGTGTCCTACTAATGAAAATAGGTTCATACTGTACATATTTGGTTCTGCTGCCATCCCCTCTTTTTTTAGACTTACTATATTATGGACTTTTTTTCATGCCAGTAAATCCAGATTTACCTCATTCTGCACAGTATTGCGTTATATGGATCTGTTGTTCTCCCCCTGATGGACATTTATGTTGTTTCCAATTTTCTACCATCACAAACAGGCTGCAGTGAGCATCCTTGCACATATACCTTTACATGTTTATGCTGGGAACTTTTCTACAGAAATAGAAGAAAAGGTAGACACGTTTAAAATGTTGATCAGCATTACAAATGTACAAAGTTCTGCAATATAAGCTGTTTTAATATTTCAAAATGCTTGATGGAAATTGGGCATTATTAACTATAGCTGCACTGGTTAACGAAAACATTAACTTTCTTGGTGTTTGGCTGCAGAACTTGGATATTTTATGCCTATCAGTCAAACAGCAGGACATAATTGGCAGTTTTATGACTTCTGGTGAATAATAAGTAGATATGACTAATGAAACACTTGAATGAGCAGCATGTTTCAGAAATGTTGGGCCTATTTAGAACAAATAACGGAAGAAGACCTGGGACATGAAAAGGTGGGGAACCACTGGCCTTCTAGAGCAGGAGTCCCTAACCCCTGGGGAGCTGACCAGAACTGGTCTGTTAGGCATCTGGCCGCACAGCAGGAGGTGAGCTGTGGAAGAGCTAGCGAAGCTTCACCTGTATTTGCAGCTGTTACCCAGCGCTAGCATCACCGCCTCAGCACCACCTCAGATCATCAGGCATTAGATTCCCATAGGAGCACTGGTCCCTGGTGCCAAAAAGGTGGGGGACCACTGTTCTAGAGCACCCTTCAGAATTGGATTAGAGAGCATAGTCATGCTTACCACATGGCTCCCTTTGTCAGGTGCTGCTGCCGAGAGCTGGCGGCTGGCACTGAATGAGCAGTCATGCAACCAGGTATTTGGTCAGAGCACTGACCTCGACTTTCTACTGTGGGACTGTGGGCCAAGCTCTTCATTTCTCTGGGCTTGAGTTTTTCTGTCTCTAGGAGGGAAGTTGTCAAGCCCTCATTTCCCCTGAGCATGTTGTGAGGGGAAAAGTTTAAGATTGAGAAAGTAAGTTAAACCTTGTGTAAGAAAGGAAGAAGAGAATTTCAGAATTGAAACAGTTTTCTGTTATTTGTCAAGGGGTGTGTTACATTGTCTCTGAAATTAATCAGCATGAAGTATCTACTATTGACATTAAGGTGGAGGTGGAGGTGGTTTTGATTTTTAACAGGCAGGACAATTTGTTCCTAGTTCTGCTGATGTGGCAGTTTGAGATAGGAAGTGTGGTTTAGTTTTGTACTCGGGAAAATGAGAAGCCCTGGTTGTGGCAGGTGTGTGTGGGTGTCATGGGCACAGGCAGGAGGTATGGTGCTGGGGGGCAGGGTGGGGAGAACTTAGTGACCTGTATTTTCTTTTGCTCTGAGCCCTCTCTGCCCAGTTTGGTAAACATGGAGCAGCTGGTACTCTTGTTGGCTTCAGAGCAGCTCTCAAGTGTCAGTTCATTTTCAGCACTAGGGAGGGGAACAGGACCTTTGAGGAAGTGCCTAATGGGCTGGAAGGTGTGGACAAAGCAGGCCAAAAGTGCAGGTAATGAGCCAGATCATGGGGGATTGAGAAGAGTGCAGCGCTGAGCTGGAGAAAGCGAAGACTCAGGAGGATTTGACTACTGAAACCTGAAGCAGCTTTTCCTAGGCGATCCCTGTCAGCGGTCTCTGTCAGGCTGAGCCCCATCAAAGGTCAGGGATTAATGTTGGCTGAGGCTGCAGGGTGAGTTTACTTGCCATTGTGCCCCAGATTTGGACAGGGATGAAAATCATTTCTGTTGCCCGAGACCAACTTTGGGAGGGGCTTCCGCCCAGGCATGAGAATTTTCCATGTGCACAGTGCATAAAGGACTAAAGCCAAGCCCTCGGACCCTGCGTCTATTGCCTCCCTCACCACTCTGGCTTCTGAATACTTCTTGCCAAACACCCCTAGGAAACTCTTCCTTCCGAAGTCTATTCTCTTCCCAGGTCCTTCTGCCCACTTCTCCACTGAGACCTTTTTACATTGCCATCCCAAAAGATGAAAGATGACTTTCCCATGCAGGTACTCCAATCTTACTGAATTGTTTCTTAACCTCATAGGGCACCTTGTCCCAGGGTACAGCAGCACCTTGCGTGCACCCTCTGGAAAGCAGTGCAGGGAAGTGAAAGGCGTTTCTTTCCTTCTTCTGTGCCCTCAGAGGAGCCAGCAAAGCCTGAGCCTCCCAGATGACCTCATTTGCACCTTGGCCCCAGGAAAGTGGCTGACAGCAGTGTGGGGCCCTCTCCCACCGCCAGTCCCAGTGAGCAAGCTGATGAGGAACTGGGCTCTTTTTATGGAGAAAAACTGCCCAGGAAGCACTAGATCTGAACTCTAGTGTCAGCTGTTCCCATGATTCAAGTGTGTCTGTACGCAAGTTACCTGACCCTGAGCATCTAGTTTGTCTCACTCTAGTGAGACCTATCTCTGTAAATGAATTCCTGAAATAAGTATTGTAAGGAAGGTAGACCAATGACTGCGCCTGCTTCTAAACTGTCTCGCGTTCATGTGAGCCATTGAGGCAGGCAGGCCATGATGCCCTTGTGGGCTAAGTTTTACTGAAGTTTCCTGAGATCTAGGCAGAACCTGTGTCAGGTAGGCTCTTCCACAGTCTAAATCTCACTGTGGTTTAGAAATTCTGGCTTAAACTCATGTCCTGAGTACAAGGCCAAAGGAACTTGAAGCCAGGCCCTTTTTGTGGTGGTCAAGCTAATTCTTGCCAGTGGCTCCGAAGGGGTAGGTGAGATCCTCAGGGTAAACACTCTCTTGGGCCTATTATAGGAGCCTGCTGGTAGAGTCTCCAGGCACAAGACCTTCCCTCACAGCTGTATCATTCTTGTGTCACTAGACAGTTTCATGTTAGGGATGGCTATTGTCTTTCTAATCCTTGCCACTTTCTCCCCTCTTTTTTCCTTGGGTACCTCTGTGAAGACTTTGGCTATGTGGGGAAGACATGTCTTGGTTTAGGGACTTTGTGAAAGTCTGCATGACCCTCTAACTCTCTTTAGGGAGGGTTCACCTGATTTCCCCTCGGTCTGCTTTCCCAGTCTTCCTCGACCCTTGCCTCACAGGTTTATGAGGATTAAGTGAGATTGTGACTACGAAGTTCTTAGCCCAATGCATGAACTTTACTTGGCCCCTAGTCATTTAGTTTTATTCCGTTTCATTTCCTCTAGCATGGGCATCCTACATGACTAACTCTCCTACTCTCATCGTTATGATTGGCTTGCCAGCCCGGGGCAAAACCTATGTGTCCAAGAAACTCACACGCTACCTCAACTGGATTGGGGTGCCCACCAAAGGTAGGTGCAGGTCATTCATTTTTGGGGGAAGGGAAATGATCAGTTCTTCTGGAGGATTTAGTCTTCCTGGCATCAAGGTTACAGGGTGTTCCTGGCTGAAATAGTGGTTGCTTCATGATTTACTGAATTTATTCCCTCTTCGCAGACTTGTTTCCTCCTGTCCTGGGTGCATTGGCCTAGTTTGGGAGAATGCTTTTGATGGTATATGGTTTGACATTTTCAGAGCCCTTAAATATACGTTATGTTGTCTACTCTTAGCCATACCTCTGTGAAGTAGCCAAAGTGGCTGAGGAATTTGAATCTCAGACATCATAAGACTTGCCCAAGGTCTTATAAGTCTGAACTCGAGCTACACTTGACTCTTAATCTGGTGGTGTTCCCAACATAACCTTGGTGCTTTTTTCATCCCTTGGCCACTCTGACATTAGACCAGGAAGTCCCCTTTGATGGGGCCACTCTATTGTTTCACTGGTGAAGGGTGTTGCTGTCTTCTGCAGTGTTTAATCTCGGGGTGTACCGGCGTGAAGCAGTCAAGTCCTATAAGTCTTATGACTTCTTCCGGCATGACAACGAGGAGGCCATGAAGATCCGCAAGTGAGTCTTCTTAGGCCTGACCTCGGGGCCAGCTCTTTCTCAACCATTACAGAAGTGGATGTGACAGGGCTTGGTTTTCCTTTAAGTAGAAGTTATTTGCTGGACAGGTCACTTTAGGCTTCGGCGGCTAGGTGAACAAGGCTGAGAGAGATGTATGTATGCTTGTAGGTTAAGCCTACAGAGGGAAAAGATGTATACATGGGGTGGAAGAAGGGGAAAGATGTAGGATGGCATAAATATCTCAGTGGGGAAGTTGAAATGTCTAGTTAGGGAAAATTTTTGACCACTGGGAAAATGAAGCAGGAAGCCAGGTGATTTCTATAGTAACCCAGCCGTTTGTGTCTCGGGCTGTGCCTGAGCTTGGGCTCACCCCACTCCTCTTGCTGACATCCGCTGCTCTCATGGCAGGCAGTGTGCTGTGGTGGCGCTGAAGGACGTTAAGGCGTATCTCACTGAGGAGAGCGGGCAAATTGCGGTGAGCCTTACACACCTCTCCCCTGGCTTGGTCTCCACCCTTTCAAGGCTCCACAGCCCCATGTTGGGTCCACCTTGGTGGGATTTCGTTTCTCACTTTCTGCTCATCTACCGTGTGGCTCTCTTTCCAGGTGTTTGATGCCACCAATACCACTAGGGAGAGGAGGGACATGATTTTGAACTTTGCAAAGGAGAATTCCTTCAAGGTAGGATGCTGGAGGGAAAGGGGTGAGTGGAGGTGGGCAGTTAGGAGAGACATGTGGATCTGTTTGACTCCAGTGAGTGAGGACAGGGTTGGACGTCTTGATTCTCTCGTCTTGGGGCGTACCCGTAGTCCTTGAGTGTTTTCTTGCAGGTTCTTCCTCAGACCTTTAGCCTGTATGTCTGAGGCCCTGGGGATGTGGTAAGAGCTATTTTTCAATGAGGAGGCCTTAAAGGTCACTTTTATGAAAGAAAATCCCTAAGGGTATGTGTGTGGTAGCTGGGTGGGGCAGGTTTGAGTATGTGCTCTTTATGAACAGACTGGCCATTTTTGACTCATTTATCACTAGCTTCTCTCCCTGGTCAGGTGTTCTTTGTGGAATCTGTCTGTGATGATCCTGATGTCATTGCTGCCAACATCCTGGTGGGTGACACCTCTGTGTACCATTACCTCTTTATCCTTTGTGCCCTGTGTGTGTATGGGGAGGGGAAGAATCAACTGTCAACTGGGTAAGGGAAGAAAGAAATGGACCTGTTTAACATCACAGAGAGATCTGTTTGATTGGCCAGGGCACCGTTTTGTACTCCCACACGCTTCCCTTGGGAGAGGGAACCGAGGCTTAGAGGAATAACATAAGAATTAGCTGCTAATGGGCACTAAGACTTAGACTGTAGGAGTCCTGGCCCCAAGTTCTGGGTGTTAGCTGAATGTTGAGACCTAACTGTATTCTTAGAATAGACCAGACTCTTCATTAACTGTCAGGGACACCTTCTAGGAAGATCATCTGCCCAGACATTGTCTAACATTCAGATCAGTGCTCTGTACACTGAGCACCTTGTGCCCTTTGTGGTCACAGCATAAACCTGTACCCATTTAGTGGCTTGTGCTGTGCTGTGCCGAGTAGACCTCTGTGCATAGTGTCATGGTGCTGCTTTCCCAGCAACATATAGACTTGGGAATCATGTAAGGGAGAGGCATCTGGTCCCAATCAATCATGGATCCTATTAAACAGCCCATTCTGAATGGTCATGGGGAGAAAATGAAGCCCATTCTTTTTTCCCAGAAATATACATGAAGGGATTGGGACTCAAGAGCAGCTTCAGTTGCATGACTGACGCTGTCCTAAAGCCAAGGGCAGGCATGTGACTCCCCAGTTGTCTTTCCCTTCTCGTTTGCCAAGGTCATAGGACTCTGGTGGGGTGGGTGGGGGTTGGGGCGGTGGTGCTCAATGAATGGAGATTGTCAGTGCTCCAGTGAAAGGTGGCTTCTGTGGACTTCCATTTCTTAATTTAGCAGTGGCTATTTGCAGGAGGGCTAGTGAGGGCAGACATCTGACTAGACTCTGCTCTTCCATGATTCCAGGAGGTAAAGGTGTCAAGCCCTGACTACCCTGAAAGGAACAGGGAGAATGTGATGGAAGACTTCCTAAAGAGAATTGAGTGCTACAAAGTTACCTATCGACCCCTGGACCCAGACAACTATGACAAGTAAGACTTAAGGCCATGGTTTGAAGGACCTGAGACAGGGTCTCATTTGAGAAAAGAGCTTTTTTCCCCTCTGCCTCTAAACTTCCTTCTGACAGTCCAGACCCATAATATTTATATTACTCCAAAGAAACAAGGTATGGATTTGTGGCTTCTATGTGGGTTGCATCTTATACTTGAACACTGAAGTGCTTTTTATCATCAGTTCTTCCTCTCTGTCCTCTGGAGCAAGATCTCTCAACCTCAGCATTACTGACATTTTGAACTGGACAATGCTGTGTTGTAGGGGACCATCTTGTGCATTGTAGGATGTTGAGAAGCATCCCTGGCCTCTGCCTACTAGGTACCAGTAACACTGCCAACCTGTGACAACCAAAAATATTTCCAGACATTGTCAGATGTCCCCGGGGAGTAAAATCACCTTTGGTTGAGAAGCATTACTCTTGATTAGTAGTTTTGAACTAGAGTGTTGTAGGATACCCCTTAGAGTTGGTTTGATCAATTTAAAAAGTTTGTTGTATGTGTGTGTGAATGTTTTATATCTATATCACTACATATATACACATACATGTAATACATACAATACATAAAACAATGTATATGTGTATATCCAAGTAATGTATATATAATATGTTGTCTTTTATGTATAACATGTAACATATCTAACAGATAACATATTATGTATATAAATAAAACGTGACGTTCTCAGGAACTTGGCTGGCTTAGATAAATGTCTGATCAGTACTAGCTGTCATCACTTTAACATCGTCTAAGAGTAAAGTGGTATATAGTACCGGTTGTATGTGAGGTATAGGAGCCATAGCAAAATGTCAAGTCCATGTTGAAGGAAGACGTGTGCACATGGAAACCTGTGAGAACGCAGCCTTTGAAAAGGTGTGCAGTCAGAGCAGTTACCAGCTCTCTTCAAGTAAGAGGACAGCCCTGCAGCCGAGCAAATGGCGAGACAAGTGTGCGTATCTGTATTGGCATCCTGGGGGGAGGTGGGATTCCTCTCACTGTTTGATCGCTTCAGTGGCCTGCTTTTGAGTTTTTCAGTTCCTTCACCATGTTGCCCAGAATGTTACTGTTTGGAGGTATCGCTACCCTAGATATGACATAATTGTATATTCTTCAGTTAACCCAAAGCCCTACCTAAGAAAACATTCTAGAAGTGTGTGTGTGTGTGTGTGTGTGTGTGTGTGTGTGTGTGTGTGTGTGTTCGTGTTCACAGATATCTCTGGGAGTAGGGTAGTAGGGTTATGGGTGATTTTTATTTGCATTATTCTACCTTTTATTTGAAATGTTTTTGGAATAAGCACTTACTATTTTTATAATGAGAAAAATTCCATGATGGTCACAAAGCAGTCGTGGAAGTACCTTTGAGAGAGGCTTGATTTAGTCAGATGCCAGGAATGCATCTGCCTATGGTTCTGCCTCCTGTTCTCCACTCACCGCTGGTGATGCTCTGGTTAGGTCTTGACCACCTCATATGGGGGTTGTGCTTCTTACCAGATTTCAAGGTCAGCAACACCTTCAGGTCATCTAGTCTAGCTCCTGAGGGGAAGCCTGAATTCTGTTTATCATACTTGTTACGTGGCTTGGCACAGTAGAGGCACTGAAGGAATGGTACTGACTGACTACAAGTTTGGGAAATTTTCCTTCCTCTTGGTTCTGAGGATTCATCCATCTCTTACCATTTAGCTTCTTAGATGTGGGTAGGGCCGTGACAGGAGTGGAGGAAGAGCTGCTATGAGCCTGCAAGTAACTATGAAATCCTTTCCCCTCCTATGGTTATCCTCAGATTTTCATACCCAGGGGATTTTTCCCCCCTCTGTCTCAGGGATCTTTCTTTCATCAAGGTGATAAATGTGGGCCAGCGATTTTTAGTGAACAGAGTCCAGGACTACATCCAGAGCAAGATAGTCTACTACCTCATGAATATCCACGTCCAGCCTCGCACCATTTACCTGTGCCGGCACGGAGAGAGCGAATTCAATCTCTTGGGGAAGATTGGGGGTGACTCCGGCCTCTCCGTGAGGGGAAAACAGGTGAGTGGTTACTCAGCATGCTGGATTTCCTGGGCTTAGACTTGGAGGGCATGGCGGAGGTCATCTCTTTTATCTCCTTACTTCTTCCTAAATCCCCCTGGTGCTTAGGCTGTGGTTTCAGATGGTCAAGCAGGTACTAAAGATGTTTTCTTATTCACTGATTCTAGATCTGTATCGAAGTGTGGGTAACTTGGAACCATTTCTTCTGTGGTCATTCAGCCATCAGATATTTATTGGGCACAACTTGTGTGCTTAGCACAGTACCAGGTGCTCCAGTCGAAGCTGATGTCCTCTTGGGTTTATTACATGTAGTGCTTTTCAGGTTTTGACCGTGGTCATACACATCGGCCTTTACAGGCTGAGTTAGCAGTTGTATGTGTGTTTTCTTTTTAAATTTTTTATTTTGAACTCTAGTTTGCCCAGGCTCTAAGGAAGTTTCTGGAAGAACAGGAGATAGTAGACCTCAAAGTATGGACGAGCCAGTTGAAGAGGACTATCCAGACTGCTGAATCCCTGGGTGTGACCTATGAGCAGTGGAAGATCCTCAATGAGATTGATGCTGTGAGTAGGAAGATATGATGGCCATTATGGTCACCTATTTGGGCAGGAACTCCCAGAAGTCACGATTTGAGCAGTTTTATCCACAAACTAGAAGCACCAAATAGAAACTTTGAGGAAGCTGAATCTGTGGCCATTTCGGGGAGGAACAATTCCACCCGTAGTCGGAGCTTCCTGCCTGCATGAGCACCTGTGCCAACAAGGGGACCCAAACCAGTTTTTGACCTAGCACCTCTGGTACCTGGAGAGAGAGCGGGGCTCCATTAGGTTCCATTGTAGATGTTCCTTCTGGAAAAAAGAAATCGCTAACAACTCACTGTGATTTCTGCTAACATCATTTGGTCAGCTATTTGGAAAAAGTACTTTCCAAATTTTTTCTTGGCTTTCTCTGTCTTTGAGCACAAGAGTAGGCATTTCTTTTTCTTCCTCTGTAGCCTTTTATGCCTTCTACAAGAATTCTCCAGTCCCTTGTCCCCACTCCCATTCCCTGCTTCCTGTTCCTTTTATCCTGCTGACTTTTCTTGACCTGAAAGTTCCCCACGGTAGTAGGAGAAAGTGCCAGCATATGCTAGGGAAGTCGCCTCCTCTCTGCAGTGGTACTCACCCTGCCAGTCCAAGACACCCTGGCTAGTCAGTTGCAAGACATGAAAGGACCTGCCACAGTGCCTGGCACGTAGTAGAAAACGAGTATTCTTCAGTGTTGCCTTATTTGGGTGGGGCCGTATGGGTCAGTCTGTGTCTTTAAGCCAGTGTGGCTCCTTGCAGGGCATGTGTGAAGAGATGACCTATGCAGAGATTGAGAAGCAGTACCCAGAGGAGTTTGCACTTCGGGATCAAGAGAAATATCTGTATCGGTATCCTGGTGGGGAGGTGAGACTCCTCTCACGTGGGCTGACTGCCCAGCCCTTTGCTGGGGCTTTAGCTTTAATTTAGGGGAAGGATTGAATGTGATTTGGGGGATCTATATAGGGTACTTAACGCATCATTTAGTTTACCCTCCTACCTTTGGATCATACTGTGTTTAATTAAGCCTAGGCAGTCAGATGTCTCCTTAATTTGTTCAGATCTCCAGGGAAAAGGGCAACAAGATAGCCTCTGTGTTGAGTATGTGGTAGAATCAATGTGATCTTTTTTCCTTCCTTTTCTTCACTCCATTTCCTCAGTCCCACTCCCACCCACGCAGGTATGGGTACCAAGTAAATCTATGGGTTATGAATGATTTCTCTGTCATCTTTGGTGGTTCAGTCAGTTTCCTGGTCTAAGCGGCTTCACAGTCTAGGGACGTGTGAGGCAAAGGTGAATAGGCGGAGTGGCGGAGGTCCAGGAAACCCTTAGGAGACCGTTGTTGGCTGATACTCTGCCTGTTAATCTTTGGAGGAAATTAACCACAGGCTGAATTCAGATTTCTTCTTCCTGACCTGTAGTTTTCTCCATCTGAACGTTGCTCTTGGAAGGTCTGAATATTCTTAAGAGATACTAGGGCTAAGGGAGTTAGCAGGCGACATGAAGTCGCTGAACTTCCAGGAGGAAAGCCAGCTGGGGAAGGAGCAATAGCCTCTTAACTCTAGATGCAGCCACTGACTCGGCTGCCAGCTTGCGCCTGGCCTCCTACCAGCTTGCCCCACCTCCCCCCACAGTCATACCAGGACCTGGTGCAGCGGCTGGAGCCTGTCATCATGGAGCTGGAACGTCAGGGCAACGTCCTCGTCATCTCCCACCAGGCTGTCATGCGCTGCCTCCTGGCCTACTTCTTGGATAAGGGTGCAGGTGCCATTGAGGGACGGGCTGGGGGACACATTCACGGGAGGGGGCCAGACTTGGGGTGGCACCAGGATCCCTGGCAACCGGATCTCTCCTTCTTCCACTCAAATTGGAGTACATTCTTGAGGCAGCAGTATGGGGCTCCCAGCAGCCACTGAGCCAACTATTTTGCTGAATTGACTCTGCTGGTACAAAAGCCCCCAGTGGAGAGTGGCTGCTGCTAGAGCTCCTCAGTCCTCCTTGGCTCAAGGGCAGCATCGAGCTGACTCTCTTGGCAGCCTCAGACAAGTGGTTGAACATTCCCAGTTTGTTACTTTGGCTACGAAAGGGTGGTATCCTAGAAGCATCTTCATCCTTTGGGTTCAGGGTAGGACAGTTTCTGGGCAGAGCTGTAAGGAAGCACTGCTGCCTTCTCGACACTTCCCTTCTCAATCTACCTGAGTTGCTGGGAAGCCTGCAGATTGGCCTTTAGTATACCCAGGTGGGCCACAATCTTCCCTTCCTTGGGGTCCTGGCTATGTCACTTATTTCTGCTTTGCCTGCATGGAAGGATCTAAAATAGACTTATTTCCTTCCTTAGCCACTCAGTAGCTTGGGTGGCCTCTTTGGTGGCCATTTTGATAATTAGGATTTAGTGGAGGAGTTGTATAACCCTGGGTCAGAGTAATGAAAACTCATGAGCTCCTTAGATTCTTCTTCTACTGGCTTGACCGTACCCCACAATCCTGAGAGTCTTCTCTCACCTTGTCTTTCTGCTTTCAGATGAGCTACCATACTTGAGGTGCCCTCTCCATACCATCTTCAAACTTACTCCTGTGGCCTATGGTAACTATGAATTAAGGAGCTGGGCAGGAGGTGGGGATTGAGGAAGGTCAGGATTTTTGAATTTTCTCTGAAGTTTGTGCAGAAGATCAACTTCATCACCCCTGTTTACCAGGGAAGTTCTATCAGTGCCTTCCATTTTTAAGGGGTGTGTGTGTGTGTGTGTGTGTGTGTGTGTGTGTGTGTACGTGTGTATATGTTACACTTTTTTTATGGTATGTTTTCACAAACTGAAAGTAAGGAATTTTTCTTTGAGCTTTTTTCCTGAAGGTCTCTCTTTCCTGTTTCTCCAGGGTGCAAAGTGGAAACCATTAAACTCAACGTGGAGGCCGTGAACACTCACCGTGACAAGCCAACTGTAAGTATTTTCCCACAGACGAACATGCAAGTTTCCTGCCAAGTCTTTGAACCTTTGGCATCAAAACACTGGGGTTTCCTTTTATGTATAAAAGGAAAACAGATCTAGAACTCATGTCCTATACAACCTGTTACTTCCAAATGGAAGAGATGCTGGAATTATTAATTTTTAAGATTAGTACCTTTCATGATTCTTGACCTTGAAGGTTGGCTCCTAGAAATCCAATTAAATATGGAAAGTGTGTGGTGTGACCGAAGTGAAATGAAAATTCCACCCCCGCCTCCAGGAAGTGTCCCACTTAGAAAGCAGGATCCAGAAGAGCCTATACGGTGGGGGGAAGAGGTGTAGTTCGTTCTTAGGCCTGTCCTGATAACCTGTCTGATCTTAAATAAGCCCCTTCCTTTTTTTGTCTCTCTTTCCTGTTTTGGAGTGCGATGCTCAAGGAGCTTCTCCCTCTACAACCCTTTAGCTTCCTGGGGCTAGGGGACCAGGCCATAGCCCAGGTCTTATGAGAGACCCTGCCTGCAGAGGAGCAGGAGTGGAGGGAGCTGTTATGGTTACAAACATTTTTTAACCTTTCTGAGTGAGCGTCTGTCTTGGCTTTCATTTGTGTGGTGTCCCTCCATTTCCAATCAGAACAACTTCCCCAAGAACCAAACCCCTGTAAGGATGAGAAGGAACAGCTTTACGCCTCTGTCCAGTTCGAATACAATAAGGCGTCCAAGAAATTACAGTGTTGGGAGCCGGCCCCTCAAGCCCCTCAGCCCTCTTCGTGCCCTGGACATGCAAGAAGGGGCCGACCAGCCGAAGACCCAAGTCAGCATTCCGGTGGTGTAACCGTGTGTCTCCCTCCAGTCTTGGCCTCCTGCCCTTGTCACTAATCACCAAGGAATCATTTAACTTCGGACCCCTACCCCTGACACCCCATCATGAATCTTAACACAGAGAGTGAGGCCGTGTGTTTCCAGACCACCCTTAGCTATTCTGCAGTGTGAAACATCTCCCTGCCCAGGGGCGAGTGGACGAGTTGGGTGTTTTAGGTCACGTCCTCAGTTGGGGTGGTCAGGAGGAGGAAAAGGGAAGGGATACATCCCTTTAGGGTGATTAGCACAGAAGGGGCTGAGGCTAAGCATGCCCGATATACTTGGTTTTTGTCCATTTGGTGTCTAAACTCCTTGAAGTCCTTGTGTTGGTAAATTGTCGGGAGTGTGGGGGTGGGGGTGGGCAGGGTGGAGGGGAACACAGAAGCCCATTTTTCCTTCGCCTTCGTCTCTTCGAGATATGCTTTACTCACAGACCTTAACTGCCTGCTTTCTTCCCCCTCCCCCTTTTCCCTTTCGGATTGTCCAGTGTGATGCATGTCATTGTCATTGTGGTGTCTGTCTAGGAGGGAAGGGGAGGTTGGCGAGAGAGAAGTCAAGGCTCCATTGATGCTCGCTGCAGTGGGCCTAAATGGATCTGCACGGGGGGAGCCTTTCTTTTCCCTTCTCCCTTTCTCTCAAGCCAGGTCCTGCAAGGGTCAGCCTAGGCTGTAGAACATCCACAGATGCTCTGGAGCCTGCAAGTGGATATAGGGTGAGAGTTCTTGCCTCTTTTCATGAGAAACGGTCCTAAGGCTTTGATGCTCTGGGGGAAGGAAGCTGGCTCTGAGTGTGCGGGAAATATCTTGGTTCGTATTTTTCACTTCAAGAGACAGGCATAGGTCTTTTGCTGGCTGTGGAGCGAGATTTAGAAGAGCAGGGTGTTCCCTAGCACCTGCAGGGCTTTTGGAGGATGGGTCACATCTTTTCTTCAGTGGCTCTCAGCTTCTTTGCCAACCCCTGCAAGCCGGTAACTTTTAGGGCTGTTTAGAAGAACAGTGTTGGATTTAGGAGTCATCATTGATGTTTGAGTCACTGAAGTTAAAAGGCAAAGTAGAGTTCACTAGACCTGCTTATTATTTTTAAAACTCTCCTTTTTAAGTTGAAAAGTCTAGATGAGTCTTTAGGACTCTGTGGGGGGTCCAGCTCTTTACTGCTTTTATTTACCTACTCACTTCTGTAATTTTATTTTCTCTATAGGCCTAAACAGGAAATATTTAGAGCAGGGATTCTTGGCCTCTTGGTGGCCCATGATAGCATGCTCCTCCCCGCAAATTTGTATGCAAAACGTATGAATATGTGGACATTTTTCCGAGAAGCAAGTCTAGAGTTCTCATGAGATTTTTAAAAGAGAAAGATGACTCCCCATCCTAAAGTTATCAATTTCTCTTTAGAGGTAACCAGTAAAAACAAGTTAGCTATTTGCCAAGGGTGTTTTTGATAACAGAAGACCTTTTGTCATGGTTGTCACTAGGGGTGTTCATTCGAATCTCCTTTAGAACTTGTGAAACTTGTACCCGTGCTTGGATCTCCTTTAGGCTTAACAGTAACTCAGAATCTCTGGGATTGGGGTCTGGACATGGGTGTGTTAAAACAGCTTCACTAATGATTTCGATTCATACTCACTTCAGGTTAAACTCCATTTTATGAAGTTGGGTAGAAAAATATGGGATAGTATTTCTTTGGACAAAACATCAACCTAGGAATTCTGAATTCCTCATAGTTCTTCAAGGACAGTTCTTTGGAGTTCAGTGTTCAGCAGATCACCATATTAAATGAGGTGATCCCATTGAAATCAGGCTGCCATGTTTTAGAGGGTTATTCTAGGTTCTAGTTCCATCTTTAACTGTTGACATTGCAAGATGATGTGGAACAAATCACGACATAAATAACCGTCCTTGACTGATAGCTGGGAATTTTAAGCACCCTGGAGATAGGCACTGACATAAAACCAGTAAGATGATAAAAGTTATCAGCATGGGCAACTGACTGGTGACCTCGACTGTTTTATTCTTATATCTTGACTAGGACAGCACAGCCAATTACTAGAAGCCGCTTGCCTAGGTTCTGCTTGAAATCATGTCCAAGGTATAAAGTAATGTGCTCTTCCTGTTTAGCCATTTACATAACATGTACTTAGTGTCTTAGTTTGTGGGGCTTTCGGCTGGGTGAGGGTGGGGTGGGGTGGGGAAGGGTACACAGAAATAGAAGAAAACGTGCTTGTCCTGAAGAAGGTTATTTTAGAGACAGGACATGTAATTTAAAATAGCGAACATTTGCAGAAGAGCACTGTGCTGAGTCTCTAAGTGTGGACACTGAAGTGGAGTACAGATTGCTTCTGACTTTTCTCTTGTCGTATGGCCATGAGACTAAAAGAGTGGCGAGGCGGGAATGCGTCCTCCCCTCACCCTCACATTAGAATGAGGCATGGTCTAGGAGGTCCGTATGGCACTTTTACGAGGTTGCCTTATCTAACTTTGACTTGTGGTATCTTTAGCCCAAATGATCATTCATTTAGTCTTTCCTCCCGCTGTGTGGTCAGCGCTAATGAATGAGAAGGAGGAGCATTTTGACCCAAAGACTTTGGATTCGAACTGTACATACTCTTAGAGAAAGAAGTCTCTAATGAACTAGCATTATGTCGCCTTGTTGCAAACCCCAGCATTAGCCACAGGTCACTGGGATGTTCATGTTAATGATTTCTCCACTCTCCCCCTCTGCTAGTTTGCTTCCCCCAGAAGAGGAGCCTGAGGTGGTCTTATTAGTCTCAGATA